TTTTCTTCTCTCCTGACATCCAGATTAAGGACAAAACCTGGGAGACTTTGGAATTGTTTTCAGCCTCTTCACCATTTCATATTGAAATCAAGCAGGGCCTGCCAGGCCCTGCCAGGTACGAAAGCACCTCCATCTCCGCTGTTTCTTGTTTGCAGGGAAAATAAAGATCTTTTGTCTCCTAAGCCTTCCCAGAGTCCCAGAAAGTATGCTCAAATAGTTTTGATTAGGACAGCAGAGTCACGGGACCCTTAGCTTCTCCTGAAGAGATATAGGTAACAATCTGAAGCATATCTTCGAGTTGTTCTACAGAAACTAAGACCCCCACCCAGGTGGAGGCTGGTGACTGCATGCTGACCACGAGCACCTAGACCCCAGACCGGCTGGAATCGGGAGATTCAGATTCCTTAAGCATCACTCTGTTATCTCACCACCAACCCGTCAGAAGAAGGTTCACAAACTGATCATGCATCCTAAGACCCTCTCCCTTAACACTGTATTTAAAAACACTTGCCTGCAGGCCATCAGGAGTTCGGGTCTTTTGGCAAAAGCCACGCATTCTCCTTGCTTGGTCCTCTCAATAAAACTTTCTCTGCTCCAAACTCTGGCCTCACTGGAGCACACGAACTTGGGTTCGACAGTACTATTTTCAATATCTTCTAGATGTGAAAAGGAGAGATGGAATCACTGATCTGAGACTTTTACAATGTCTATGGTTACATTTACTTCGAAAACATCACTTTTCTATTTCAAAAGCACCCCCACATACTGTGCATTGTAACAAAAATTATTAAAGCTAGAAGATGCCTCTTATATATCTGATTTTACATTAAAGATCAAATTTCTGATTTTTGCTTTAGAAATTTACACAACGTGCCATTTGGAAAAGGCCAGTATTTTGGTTCACTTGTCAATGATAATCAGTGTTTAATGAAGCAAAGTGTAGCTGTGTTGAGATTTTTATTGTGGCACTTGATCATACTTTCATTCGCAGACCCACAGATGGCCTTCTTTTATCCAGAAAATAGCTGGCTAACTACATTCTATTTTTGACCTACTTGTTGTTCACATATTCTTTGGAAACCTCTGCTGTCTTTGCTTTTTACTATGGAAACTTTTATGCACTTCCTAGCTTTCTTGAACGCCCTCCCCAATCTGCATGCCAACTTGTCTTTCCAAACTTTATTTTAATGTTCCCTTCATAAATGTCCTCTGCTTTAGCAAAACTGAACTGATCATCATCCATGTCACGTCACTGGAATTTTCCTGACCTCCAACAACCCAACCTAACCCTTCTCTCAAGCAGTGTACCACATGTCCAATCCTTCAACTCCGTAACTGATGCACTTACTTCTTTTGCAGATTTTTTTCCTTGCTTGAGCTCTGCAAGTATTGCCTTATTTCTTTGGATACTTTTCTGTTTACAAACTGTAGGCTTCTTGTTACCTTTCTCCTTTCAAGAGTACTTATTCATGTTCTCTCAGCTATTCTGCAGTCTAATCGCTGTCTTTTCTTCCTTTCCTGACCCCTCCACTTTGTCACAATCTTTACAACTCTCCTTTCTCTTCATTGACTTGAACTTCATGGCACTCTTAATATTATTCATACCCCCTGGAGCTTCTGCCTTTATTTTAAGCCCAACCTTGGATGAATCAATAATATATCTTCCTGTGCCTTATCTTCTGCTTTGTGAAAAAAAAAAAAAAGTAGAAGCCACGAGAGAATGTCTCTGATCCCACCTGAATATTCACGCACCCCATCCTACTAGTAGAATTGTTCTGCATGCTCCTGTTTGAAGAAAATCCCCCTGCCTGTCTGTGGCTCCCATCTACACCTGTACTCACAGACACTTTGTCCTTCTCTGACAATCCATCCTAATAAGCATAGTCAAATTTCTTTAAATAGTTAAACAGACAAACAAATAAAAACCCAAACTCCAGCTTTATTCTCCCTCTATTCCTTTCCAGTGACAGGCTCACCCCTCTTCCCTCCTTCATAGTCAGATGGTCAGAAAGTGACCAAACCGCGGTCTCGACTTCTTTTGCTCCTGCTACTGTCCTACTCACGCTAACATGGCTTCAGTCATCACGACTCCATGAAACAATTTTCACCAATATTGCCACTGACTTCATTTTTTCTAAAGATAATGGTTATTTCTAAAGTACTTACCGAATTTCTTATCTTCGTAGCAGTTGAAGCAATGAACCACTGTCTTAAAACACTTTCCTTCCCTTCATTTCCGTGACATGATTTCGCTCGGTTTTCTCCCAGCCCTCTCTGGCTGTGTCTTCTCTGTCTCTTCCGTCATCGCACTCTCCTCCACCTAGCCCTTAAGTGTAGAGCTCCTCAAGACTCAAGCCAGAACCTTCTCTGCTCTCACTTTGTAGTCTCTTCCTGGGTGATCCCTACCACACTCAGGGATTTAATCATCAATGCTCAGCTCTATCTCAGACTGTTCCCTTGAGTTCGACCTGTTACTCTGATTCTTATCTAATCTATTTTCTACACAGTAGCTGGAGAGAGATTTAAACAACAAGAATTTGAAATTATCTTTCCAGGCCGTCCTCTCTAGATTTTCTACTCCTGCTTAAAATTCTTCAATAATTTCCCACTGGGATCCTCCCACTCTAGGCTGTCTCCACATCAATCACCCCAGAGCTCATTTTCGTTCACAGTGATTATCATGGTGCCCCGAACTACAAGCAGTACATACATCCGTTGGTCCCTTTTTCCTAGATGCTCCCCTCTTCCCCCTTTAACTTAAGTACAACTCATCCTTCAGATGTCAGCTAACGTAAAACTTTGTCAAGGAAGATTGCCCTGACCTTTCTGACTACAGTACCCCTCACATGTATATGGCATATCTCTCCTTCACACCACTTGGCAGAATTGTCAATTTATCTTTGTTAGTGAGATTATTTAATTAATATCTCTCTTCCTTTCCAAGGGCAGTTACAAGGTCTTTCTTTTCTTGAAGATAAATCTTCAATATCTAGAACTGAGCCTAATACAGAATAGTAGCTCAATAAATATTTGGTCAATGAATAAATGCATACATGATGAATTCTTATTTCAGTCCATGTTACTCATCAAAGCATAACACCTTGCCCATAGTAAGAGTCTACACATAGTTACTGAACTGTATTAAGTGGTATATTATATATATATATATGCTCTTTGAAAGAAAATAGAGTAAAATCTGCAGGTTAGAACAACATATTTAACATATCTATATTCAATTCATCTTTGTTCATAATTATATCCATATTGTTTTCTGTGGTATTTGAACAAGAGCCATGGCAATTGGTTTTCTTTTGGATGAAGAAATATGCAATATTGTCCTTCAACTCATTTATTAGAGCATCGGATTAAGGTTAGCTACAGTAGGTTCTGTTTAAATTGAAATGTCACTTTGTTGTCCCTTTTAGACTGACATGAATTGACTAATCATTTACATTTTACATCATATTAAACTCTGAGTTCTTCGGATGAAATAGCTAGTACTGTCACACTTTTGCAGGGTGGTTTTGATGAATATATATTTCCCACTCCCTAGGGGAAAAAAATGGTTATAAAAGCTCAATATAATATTATTTGTTTTCCTGGCTTACCCCACATCTTTTTATTTATTTATTTATTTTTTTGAGAGCAGCATGCATAAAATAGTAACAAAAAAAGTTATTTTTCAAGAATGATTCATTTTAGCACATTTTGAAGTAATCATTAGTTTGTGACTCTCATTAATAGAGAAGCAAAAACCACAAACAATAGCCACTAATCACTAATTAAAGTCACTGATGAGAGAAATTTGAAAACAACACTTTACATTTGCTATGGAAGAAATTCCAGAAGTATGGCAGGGCTCTGGTTAAGGTTACAAATTTTACTGAGTCCAACTATCTAATATCCAAATGTAGACTCTATATTACTCACCATTTCTAATTAAGATTTGAAAATATTGCTATTTTATTAAACTAAGATGAATGTTGATTCTCATTAATTAAAAAGGAACTTACTATCACAGGATGAGGTTCCAGGAAATTCTAAAAAATTCGCCAGGTTGATTTTGTAATAAATATTTTTATACAAACATCAATGGAATTATATTAAACAATTAAAAATGAATGATGAGCAAAAAGCACTTTACTTCTTACCTAATTATAAAGTAACATTTAATCTCCTGACTGCTTTTGCTGCCTCCAGTCTGACTGTATCTAAGCTCCACTCCTCTGTGCAGCCAGAGTGGTCTTTTTAAATGCTGTTCAAGATTGTGTCTTTTTCTTTGTTCAAGTTCTTTGATTTCTCTCCTAGAATTCAAAGTTTAGTCCAGTGTCTTCAATTAAAAACCCTGGCCCTTCATGGTATAGATAGACCCTGTCTCTCCTTCCAACTTTAGTTAAGGTCGTTTACAGAAACACACACACACAACTCCTCCCTCTGTGTTAGGAACTGCCTAACATTTCCCAAATGCCTTATACTGTCCCTTTCTCTGGTCATTCACACATTCTATTTGTACTACACGGGAAAGCCTCTCCCTTTCTTCATCTAATTCCTGCTTATTTTTCAAAATATTTTCAATTCAAATGTCACCTCCTCCAGGATGCCAATTCCCGATGCTCTAGTTTCTTTCAGGACCTCAGAGTTCTTGGCAGGAAACTTCAGTCATACTGTAAGCATCGATTTACTTGTCTGCCTTGGGGTAAAACTGTATGTACTTTGAGGACTAAATCTTCTTTAATTTAATATCTGCTGGTCCCTGGCATACTGCATTCATTTGCTAAGTATTTACCTATCTGATGAGTCAGTTCCTTAGGTTGGAGCTGCAGACACAGAGAAATAAATGGGCCCCATCCCTGAGGAGTGGATCATTCATAGATAGACAAACAGTAGAGACTCCACACTTAGTTGCTAAATGAATAAATAAACAAAGAAATTTCCATTTTGAAAACTATCAAAAAAGAAAAAAGCTAAAAACCATAATCACAAAATGGTGATGAGAATGACAAATTACAATTTATTGTTATAAATGATTAAATGCATGCACTCAAAATCAGCAACTATGTTACACAACTTTAAGTTAACTGCATAAACCAAAATTGAAATTCAGCTCCTGTTTTTCTTTGTCTTTTACTAATTCCTTTGATAAGCAGCATATGAAGTTTTTTGTTTATTAGAATCTTTGGTTTCGAGGATCAGGCCCTAGCCAGCCTCCATGTTGATATCCCCTTCGCAATCTGGCAGTGTAAATGCTAAAGGCTAAGACCAAAGCATTAGCCTGATTTCTAACTCAGAAGGTTTGTAGAGAATTTTAGGATTGGTGGTGGAGACTATGGTTGGTGTGGTGTGGGGACAAAAATAACTTTATGCTGCCCAGGCTAATGACGGACTCCAGAGGCAAATGAAACACTTGATCCTGGCAAGTTTCCAAGCCTACCAGTAGTAGATATTTGTGACATTTCTTAATAGTTTCACCAACAAAGCTTTTGTCCCAGAGTGTGCTGGCAGCTACTCTGTCAATGGAAGGATTACCATTCAAATAGCAGCTTTCTATCAGGATACCCCCAGGTTGAGGATTTGTCTCCAGAACAACAGGAGTGCTATATAGAGTACAACCAAAACAGCGTGCAACATGCAGTGTAAAGGAGAGGCAGTCTTGTTACTTAAGGTAACCTAGTGGGGAAAGTACTGTGGTTCCACTGTTGGTCCACTGTGGTCAATTTTCCAATAGTAACTGGAGAGGAGACATTTGATTCATTTCAGCCCAGAAGCATTCTCTAAAAGGTTACAGATGTGTTTAACATCACTCTTAAAGGAGACAAGCAATTCACTTTATCTATTTCAAAATAATATTATTTTTACTGTGTGCAACCCAGGTAGCTCTATGATAGATGGTAAGTAGATATTTGAATGGGTTTCTTGATATAACTCAAGATTCAGATTTTGGTGAAACTGGTCAGCAGTGATCCCTTTGGCTGGTAAATTTTACAGAAATGCATGTGAATGCTTAAAAAATGAAATTATAATAGAAAAAATGATTAACTGACATGAAGTATCTTATAAAAGGTATTTTAACTGGAACTTTGGGAATTTTTTTTCTTTGTCCATTTTTGGGTGACAAGGACAGGATACTGGGCAGAATATTTTTCTGAGTTATTATATCCACTCAGAGATACAAAAGAATCCTAATCAAAGTGCCTGTATGCTGTGTGGTAAGGGGTACTGTGAAGACACACAGGCAAGTAACTCCACAAATTGGATAGATCTTGAAATGAGGGAAACTCTATGATACCAAAACCTTATCAAAAAAAAAAAAAATCTGGCATTGTGCCTAGATCTCCTGGCTCTGTGCCACTTAATGAAACACTCATGATAGATGAGCAGCCTCCCTGTCATGCCTGTAAGGAAATGCTTGATGATTTTATTAACACAGGCAGTGCTGAAACCTCTCTTTGATGAACATTCTAATAAGGATGCCCTCTATGCTTGCAAAAGTTCAGGGAAATAACAAGGAAGAACAAACAGATGAAAGAAGACATCATAACATTGCCACACGTAACAGGTGTCTGACTTCAATCATCGTGCTCTGAAACAGTATGCAATACAAAAAATTAGACCAGAGAAAGAGAAATCTGATTTTCAACTTGAAACTGGCAATGGGACCAAAATATAATCCCCTTTATAAAGCAATATCTCGATTTTGAGAATTTGTGTTATTTAAATCATAATCTATATTGTTTATTATCGTGTCTTATGGTAGTTGAGAATTTCTTCACTGGATTTAGTAAGCTAAACACAAAATGAGCTATTAAAAGTTTCACTTGCTCAAAGAGAAACCATCAAGCCAACAGAGGAGTCTGCAGAAATCACTGCAGGCCAGATATGGAAATTGTTGTCTACGCCCATCAATCTGTTTAGATGAAAACTTTAGACTTGCTGATTAGCTATCAATAAGGAATATTCTGGAAATGAGGGAATTGCAAATGTGCAAATGACCTACTCATTTGTATTTGACCTGCCTTTTCCTTGCAGAACTATTAGTGTTACATGTTGACACCATTCCTGCCTATTTCAATACCAACATTTGTTTTGCCCATTCCTGCCATTCCCTTACCATCTAGTTGAGAAGACATACATTCTTGGAAGCCTCCTTTAAACCCCCCCAACTGCCTCTCTCATATTCTCCTCTAACTTTATTTTCTTTATATCACTTCTTACATTGTATCTAAATTGCCCGTTTACTTTCTTGCCTCAACAAGATTATGACCTTCTGGAGCACAGAAATGTTGGCCTATTTGAAATTATAACCCAGAATTTATCACATAACATTTTTGAATAAGTACACTAGTAAAAGTATAAATGGGTATCTGCATTCATTCTGTGGACCAGCCATTATTTATAAAGTCATATTTGAAATATATTCTGAAATAATACATGTATTTTGGGGAGTATCATAGAGTTGAGGTGGAACATTTACTTGACTGTAAAACAACTGATCATAATACATTCACTGGATGTAAAAATGCAAAAGGAACAGTCATTTGATCTTTCTGGGATACACAGATACATGTTTGTGTAGGTTTTATATATATATATTTTTCCATATCTCCCATATATCCTAAGAGACATGTACATAGACAGGTGATATAGATATGGATGTATCTTCATCAACATTTCTGCAACATTAGTATTTATTATACCTCCAAAGACTTATGATATATTTACTCTCTTGGACATGAGACATCCAGAAAAAATGTTACCTCAGCTATATAAAGCTGAAAAATATTGAACAATATTTTATTTTATCCTAAAACAAAACATCTGGAAAGAGACACATTTTTAATATATAATTCTTATTTGATTAAATCCAGGCAACTCTTTAAATTCAGTTGTAGCCATAATTAGAATAATTTAATTGCTTCTTTTGGAGGGGAGGATTGTTGTGTGCATATAAAAGTATTTACATATCATTCACTTCAGAGCTTACTTTTTTAGCAAAAGTTGTTAATTCAATTATAAAATATATAATATTTTGAAGAAATTACACTGGAAATACAAGTTTATGCTACAGTAAAAATTTGGTAAATGTATATGATCTAAATGCATAAATTAGATTCTGTGTTATACCATACATTTGTAATATATAATTTATAATACTGTCAATTACAAGAGTAAAACTGTTCCTCCTTGGCTAACAATTTATATGCATTGGCTTCTTTCTTTTCTTTTTAACTATCCCTTTGAATTGCTCTTGGAAAAGATTTACTTTACTTTCGGAGAATATATCTTGTTGATATAGTACATATATTAAAATATTTTCAAAATAAATATAAATCACAAACCCTGATAAGTTATATATTCAGTCTTGTTACATCATCAAAAATACCAATTTTACTCATAATTTAAATTATATATAAATAATCATACTATTTCAATTCATGGTTTCCAGTACTTATTTTATGAAGAAAGTATATTTCCCTCAGGATAATAAGTCTATAATACTGAGGCTCTAAAAATATTTGAAATCAGATGTAACATTTTATAAACTTAGAAACACTCAATTATTAGGTCTGTAGCACAATTACTCTTTTAGTTGACTAACAAAGGTAATGTCTTTGTTAGTCAAATTGCTCTGCATTTATACAAAGGCTATATTTAAAATTTAAGTTAGAAGTAGTGGACACAAAAATATAGCAAGGTGGTTCTTTAAATTTGAAGAGTTCCTGCACTTTGCAATGCATCAAACAGTAATTTGTAATTGACAGTTTTCTTACCTAGAGTCCTTCTCAGTCAAGAGATTGTTCTCCAAAGACAGTCAGCTGGGTAAATGTCAGAAGCTCAAAAAGTAAATTATAGTACAAACAGTGTTGATATTTCTATGAAATGGAAGAAAAGCATATTTATTTTTAAAATATAGAATTTTATTTAAAACAAGTGAAAACCTTCTATTGTGACCTTTACAAGATTCCAAACAGTGACGAATTTGGTCATTACAAATAACCTTTTCCAGAAAGAGCTTTACCATTCGGGACTTTCATTTGGTAATATATGTGAATTAATTTCCTTTCTACAAAATAACTCATGATATTAAATTTTTTATGAGATATTTTATCCCTAAGGTTACAGTTTTAAACAAATTTTAGAAGGGGAAAAAAGTAAGGGTGCAGCTATAGGGTAGCTGGTCATTTTAACTTGTGGGGGGGGAATTATTCAGTGATATTTATCATTTCTACCTTCTGTACAGAATGATAGGTGTATTTATGTGAGTTTTGTTGGAAATTATGTCTTACAACATTCTTAAAGAGCTGAGTAGAATACTTTTCAGAAGATTCACTCTAAAGCAGTTTCCAACTTAACAAATGGGTTGGATTCTCTGAGTACATTGTTAAGTCATTTGTTTGAACTCTGGTATTCCTTTTCACCATACAAATAATATTGTGTATGGTGGTTTAAAGTAGTTTCCCAAGTTAGTCTTCACTATTTTTTTTAACTCTTGGGGACCCAAAGAGAATGTGTGGTTATATATATATATATATGGTTTTTTATATATATAGTTTTCTAGAATATATGAAGTTATATAAAATCATGAAAATAAATTAAAACTGGGCAAATATTATTACAATAAGCTCTTAGTAGCTTGCATAATAACATTTCTATTGGAATGTGGGTTCCAGTCCCCATCTGGAATTGTAGGACCACATCCTGACCCAGTGCACCTGACAAAATGCTCTTTTTCCTCAACTCCGGTCTCTAAGACACTGAAAACCAAGAGGGCCATAGACCCGTTTCACTGATTTGAGTTTTCTTGTATTGTGACAGGGCTTCTGAAAGGCAGAGGCAGGGAGTGCGTGGTAAGACATAAGGGATTAAGGTGCTCTGAAAGACCAGGTCTCTTTCCCTGGTTTAAAATCCTTGTCAAATAAGTCCTGAGGTTTTTTCACCTTTCCATTTCTTTCTTTCCAGGAACACTGTCCCTGCCATCTTCTCCACTGTTAGCCAGCTGCTGAATTGCAAACTCTATGGACCACCGGGAAAACAGAATACATCAGATTGTCTATACAACCTGATAGGGAATGCTGATACATAATGAGGGGAGTGACATTAGCAAGTTTCAAAAAATCCTTAAGAATCATTATCAGAAATCACATTGGTATTTATTGGAAAGTAGAGACTAGATTTAGACCTTTGTACCCAGTTATATATGAAAAGCAATGAACTTCTCTGATCGCTGTATCTAAAATATTAGCCATAGATTCTACCCTCTTATTCTATGTTATGTTCCTTTGTAGGCTTTATTATTACTGATTTTTTTTGTTTGCTTTCTGCTTCTTGTACTGGAATAAAAGCTTCGTTGATGCAAGTACGTTTGTTTTGTGTAAGTTTCTTTGGTATCCCCGGGTGTTAGAATAGTGACTAGCATATAGCAGGTACTGAATAAATACTGATTGAATGACTGACTGAATGGATGAATGAATGAATACTAATTCAAATACTTAGTTGCCTTGAAACATGACTCCCTTGGTAATACAAGTTTATATACATTTAATGTTACACACTGCAAACAAGAAAAAACTCTCTTAATTGGAAGAACATTTTAGACACCTGCTTAATGACTGCTTTGCAGTTAGATTTCTTGTCTTCATCGTTTCTCCTAACCCAAGCCTCCTTCCATAGCAGTTCCTAGGCTTCCCTCTATCTCACCAGACCTGACTTCAAAGCCATAATTCAAATAGGCCACTTACTTTCTCTGCTTCACAAATCAGACACTACATGGTTCAAAGCTGTAAAGGAGGATAACAAAGTGGATGAGAGACAAAAAGGACAAAATCATGACTTGAAAAAAGAAAATTAGAAAATGTCCATAATCTACATAAATTGCACTGTATTGCAGAAAGTGATTATTTGCTCACGTAGCCTCTTTGGATCCTGAGGAGCTGAAAGAATTCTACACACACTTGACCCATGAGTGTGTCAAAAGGACTGTGGGAACCACAGAGCTGATAATACAGCCTACTATTATTAATGGTGCTAGCCAAGCCATTAAAACATATTTCCTGCTTCCTTTGTATCAGAGTCAAATAGAATAGTCATGCCTACAGAAAATATGTCTATTTCAACACAAAAGATGCATAAAAACATAAAATATTATGGATTTTGCAATGCTCTTATTTAACAGAGATATGGAAATTAAGCTTTACCTTAATGAATACTACCTGAAAGTTAATTTGTTTTGGGGATTAGTCTAATTCCACGTAGGATTTCAAGTATGCTAATGAAACACATGTACCAAAAATCACTGGTAAAGGGGTAATAATAAATCAGAATCAGGAAACTGAAAAGTGTATAAAGGCCAGAAGTTAAATATAAGTATCAAATTTGACTCAGTCTAGTCACAATTCCAACAAATGTTAGACACTAATTTTAATTAACCAATGCAAAATAAAAAGAGGGAATAAACATGATGGAACCACTGACTGCAATTCCATAAAGCTGTTTTTTTTAAGCATTTGGGATGTTCCAGGAACTGCAAGAGGCATAGAGGATTCGAAGAAAACTACCACACTGAAACCTAACGTAGGGCCCTCATGCCTCTAGTTTTGCTAGAATTCATTTTTACATGTTCCTCATTTAAATACCTTTATCTCATAGACATGTAATCACCTAATATAGTTAATATTATTGTGATGGTTAAACATGTCATATCAAAGGAATCGGGTATTTTATGAGATTTTAGATGAACCCTACTATGATTTGAAAACCATTCTCAGTTAAATGATGGACATATGTAATCTAAACAAGAAAAATTCAAAGAGAAGGTAATAAGCATATCTGTGAAAGACATATTTTCAAGGTGTTGGACTGAAAATCCAGGACAATGGGGTTTAGATTGCAGCTTTAAACGATAGTTACTACAGAGTAGGAATCTACTTTATGGCAGGAGGTATTCTAGATGCTTTGGATACTCTGTTTCTAATAATGTCAAAAACAATCCTGGGAATTAGATATCAGTTTTCTGATCTTATATAAGGTGAACTTAGGTTTGGGGATAGTAAGATTTGCTAGAAATTGGGTAAAACTAGAGCAGCTGTGGTTTCAATTCTCAAGGTTTCCTCAAGACTTCAAAGTCTTTGTACTAAAGAACGCTGACTCTCAATCCTTAATTGATTGAGCTAATCAAAAATGACACAACCAAATTACGTAGAAGTACCCCTTTAAAGGCCTCCTTAATAATGCTGATCCTACCAATCAAATGGAATCTTACCATTTAAAAGCTCCAGAACATTTTAGCATCTTTGCTTTTTAGAAATAGTTTGTCTTGTAGCATTTTTATTTACTTATCTGTTTTGGCTCTTTTACTAAATTATATTATGGGATACTGACATGAAGTTTAAGGATGTATTATGGTGAAAAATACAGATGCTTATGCGAGGTTTTATCCCTTGGCTAACCCAGCATATAAAAAAGATATTTACATATTAGCTTATCACAGCAAAACTCAGTACTGATTATATAATCTTAAAAGTCTTTTTTTCTAAGCCTGCCTGGATCACAGGCGTGCTCTAGCTCATGGCTCTCCTAATGACATGATGTGTACTTCTTCAAACAGAAAGGGGCAGTTCTAGTTGGTCTTATGTGTAAACTAGCAAATCCTCCCAGTCTGGGCAGGCTTCCTGTGTTCCTGTTACTGACCCATTCAGAGTTCAGCCCCAAGGGTCTTCTTACCTGGTGTCATTCGAGCCAGTAGAATGAGACCACGTTCCGTTCAGAAGGAAAGAAAAACTTAATTCTTTGAAGAATGGAGAGGCACGAGCTCCCGCAGATCGCAGGGAAAGGCGGTGGGCGGGGCTGCTTCACAGGGCTCGTCAGCGCAGGTGCAGAGGCGGAGCGGGCGCGGCTGTGCGGCTCATGCTCCAATCACAGCGCATGCGGCCCGCAGCGGCTCTGCACACGGCCCGCCGCCGCCATCTTGCAGTGATGCTCTCGGGGCTTCTGCACTGGGCCCACCGCGCTGAGCTGTCGGGCGCAGCCCTTTCGCAGGAGCAGCTCTTCCTCTGCTGTGCCAGGGCAAGGCCTCTGCACCCTACAAGCAAGTGAAACTAGACTGAGCACAAAGGAACAGAAGAAAAAGGTAAGACTTTATTTTATTACACAGATTCTATTTGTATTTCCCAGGGATTCTTACCGGGCTTTGCCGGTGACAAATCCCTCCTCTGTCTTTTGGCCATTTTCGAGGGGCACTGAGGGGCGCGGGTCTGACTTCTGGTACTGCTCCCTGCTGATCTGAGGCATCATCATAACCCCGGGTAGAGGAGCGTCTCCCGGCCGCCGTTAGGTGTGCGGCCTTGTACCTGGCTGCAGCCCTGATCGCTTGCGTCCCTGAGCGACTATGGTTTGTCTAACCTTTTGGAGACAAAGAACGCCAGATACTTTAAGATACACACCCCAAATATTGGCAAGAGAATAATGGTCACATGAGAAGCTTTTTCCTAAAAGTGAAGGTATTTCTGTCTTTTGCCTGTAGGCAAATGTGCTCTGGTGTTGAGGCTCACTGCCGTGGCCTGTCTCTGCTCACACTTATGCTGTTTTTTGAAGTGAAGCTTCAGGTTAGAGGTTGCATGGTCAAGGGGTCTGTTCCCCCAGGTTGTCCCTCCAGAGGTTGAGGCTCAGGGCCCCTCTTCACTTGAGTGTGACGTCCCCACGAAGTCACCCCTGCAAATTCAGAGCAGAGCGGGTGGTTAGGACGACCAAGTGGGGTCTGTTCTGCTTGGGAGTGAGTCGGTCTTGCAGGCTGGCTTTCTAGGTGTTAGGTGCACCCAGTCTCCTGGCTGGAAGGGTGCAGGGGCAAGTCAGTGCGTTCAGGCAGCACCTGGCCACTGTACTCTTGTGAGAGCTTTCATGGTTTCTCTACTTGGAGAAAATACCAAGTAGGCTGAGTATGAGGTCCATTTTACACCCAGGGAACTTTTTCACTTGAGACACAAATGCTGGACCACTTTCATTTTGTGGGAATCCTGGCGGCCCAGACCTGGGCCTCATTTCCTTTGGTCCTGCCTTAGCCGCTCCAGCTGCCTCTTCAGCGCTAGCAGGGAATGCTTCTGTCCACCCAGAAAATATGTCCCTTAGCACCAAGTAATACCTGAAATTGCCCGGTACTCTCAGCATGACAGTGAAATCCATCTGCCAGTCTTCTCCAGGTTCTGTCCCTCTGGTCTGAATGGTTCTTATCTGGGGGCCTCGAGGGGTCTGGTATTGGACTTGTTCATTGTTCAGGTGGGGCAGGTCTCAAGTATATGACTGATTATACTTCTGCCAGGAGTTACCACCAGTCACATAGGGCTTCCCTCGCATAGTGAGTTCCTTGCTGAGCCTCTCTGATGGCTTGACAGGCCGCAGTTTGGGGAAAGCATTTCCCATCTTCGTTAACTAGCCACACATGGCCTCCTACATCTCTGTGGAAACCCCATTTTCAGGCCTTGTCTAATTCTTACTTTTTGTAGATCGGGGAATACCCAAATAAGATTTCTGGTTTGGGAAATTTGAAACCATCACTAAACTGTTAATTGATTTTTCAGAAGACCAAAATAGGAGGCGTGCAAATGATGTGTCCTCCGACGTAACTGGTTGTAAGGGCCCGTGCTTGTTAGCCTCTCTTCAGCCAGAGTATCCCACAGGAGGTTAGATGGGACTGCCTCTGGGCCAGAGCAGCTTAACTTTGTTAGTTCCTGACCAACTTGGTCCATTAGAGAGTGGCACAACTGGTCCGGAGTAGGGGTCTTCTCTTTCCTCCTTTTGGCTGAAAAGGAGGAGTTTTCAGATTTCCCCTGGGTGAGAGCTAAATGCATAAGGGATTCCCATGGGGTATTCACCAGATTTCTGGGGCAGCTGGAATTTTGTGCTGACACTGGGAAGAGACCCCCATGGAACTTCAGTTGATAAATAGTCCCTCAAGATTTGCCTCACAAGCAGAAGGGGGAGGAGAGGTTGGTTGGTGGGTGTTTCCTGTTCTTGCCAGCAACTCACAGGGCTTCCTGACCTTGCAAGCAGCTCACAGGGCTCCCCAGCCCACTTCAGAGAAACTAGTGCTGACTGGAAGAGGTCAGGTCACCAGTTTAGTACCTACCTTGGGGCCTCTTCCAACTTGGGCATCCCCAGTGCCTTTTCCTGAATTTGGACTGAGCATCCTCATACCATCTTGTCAGATGGTCCCTGATATCTGGGCCTTTTCCTGGTCTCATCTCATGGCTCATGGGTCTGGCCACTTTGCTTTACCAAACCGAAAGTGACAATGGAGAATGCTGTTGGCAAGGAGGGCAGAAAGCCCTGCTGTGGCCACTACTGCCTTGTACAGGGGTCAGGAGG